CGAATTATAAATGTTTCTATTTTCATCTGAATCATCTGAGTTTAGTTTATTTCGTATTTTTAAATAGTTAAATAAAGAGTGTGCTTTTGATAGACATACGCAATTACATAAGTATTGAAAAAGTCACATTTACAGATGCAAATACATGTCGTTTAAGAACGCCTTTAGAGTATGCATATGCCCTGAGAAACCACATATGTTAAATGGAAATGAAGGTTCATCATTTATACTGGCATGTATACACAGCGGCAAGCTCATGCTACCAATGCCACCAACAGCGATGTCGTATGCATACATTGTATACAATTTCTACTGGGATTAGCATTTTGACACCGGAAATGTAAACTTGATAAGCAGTATTTTTGTGCAGAACATCTTTCTATTGTCAAAGGTATACAAGATTTGAATTTATTAATAAATTAGTGACCGCAAATTATAAAATTACATTTTACAATAACTTAACTACAAGTATGTGTAACATTAACATTTGAAATGGTTGAAGTTTGCAACCTATTCGTTTGGCAGTCTCCCACTCAAACTTATTGTTGTTTGTTCAGTTTATTCAGTTTATGATTACAATCTTACAGACTAGATAAAAATAAGAGTATCGTAATTAAAACTAAATACTAAAGATTTTGATACACAAGCATTTATAAGAATAGATATAGATCGACTCTTTGAGATCTTGTTAAATTCTTTCAGAGCGCGGAAAATCGGATCAACATGGTAATAGTTAGCTTTTGTAGCACGCAAGTAAAACGGCAGAGATGAGCGTAGAAATCTGTGAGGCACATTAAAGGATATCTTCTCCCTACAAATGAAAATTATTTACATAAACAGCTGATAATGATGCAATTCGTTATGTTCAGAATTACCTTTTCGTTTTTATTTAAGATGTGTCCGATGGTAAGCTATGGCCATACATTTACTCTGCGATCACTTTGCTTCCTTTCCAGAAAATTTGGGGCACCGAAATCGCGCATATGGAAACTGTGCATGTAGACAGTATTTCGGTTTCAACCGAAACTGTGCATGTATGCTTTATTTCGGTTTTTTCATATGCATTATTTCGCTTTTAAAACGAAAGTATGCATATGCATAATTTCGATATTTTCTCATATGCATTATTTCGGTTTTCAACCGAAACTGTGCATGTATGCATTACTTCGGGTTTTTCATATGCATTATTTCGGTTTTCAACCGAAACTGTGCATGCATGCATTATTTCGGTTTTTGTTATATGCATTATTTCGGTTTTCAACCGAAACTGTGCATGTATGCATACCTTCGTCTTTCACATATGCATTATTTCGGTTTTCATCCGAAACTGTGCATGTATGCTTTATTTCGGTTTTTGCCATATGCATTATTTCGGTTTTGAACTGAAATTGTGCATGCATGCATTATTTCGGTTTTTGTTATATGCATTATTTCGGTTTTCTAACGAAAGTGTGCATATGGATAATTTCGTTTTTTCTAATATGAATTATTTACTTCTACTTAGTAAGGGTTTTAATCCCTAAGCGCGGCTGAAAGCCGCCTACGCAGAGAAAAGTTCTGCGCAAAAATACGTCCGCCCTTCTTTTCCGGCAATACAGAAAGGAGAATTCTACTTAGTAAGGGTTATAATCCCTAAGCGCGGCCGAAGGCCGCCTACGCAGAGAGAAGTTCTGCGCAAAAATACTTCCGCCCTTCTTTTCCGGCAACTCAGAAAGGAGAATTCTAGTTAGTAAGGGTTATAATCCCTAAGAGCGGGCGAAGGCCGCCTACGCATTATTTCGGTTTTTTTCGTATGCATTATTTCGGTTTTTTTCATATGCATTATTTCGTATGCACAGTTTCCATATGCACAATTTCAGGGTGCCGAAAATTTTGGTAGATTTTTAGCCTTTGTTGGTAGCAATGGTAGAAAATATAATATAGCTAAAAAGCTGGGAGATCTACCAATTTAGTGGTAAAGTTCGTGCACTGGTCGGAGTATTAAAAGTCATGAAACCATTCGGATAATATGTTCTATCAAAATTGTGATTGCGGTCATTTGACTGCTTTGGTGTTTTTAGTGTTAAATGTCATTTACCTTTCGTTGGTTCAGATAACCTTTATTTAAATATGCAAATGGCACTACTTTTGTTGCATTTGGTTTTTGTTTCCTTTTTTTGCTTAACGGCTGATTTTTGTTTGGTGTAAACAGAGCGTTGCATGACTAAAACTTTAGATTTTCACTCGCTGAAATATTTTGAAGTATTTTTTCTCTCTGCTCGGCAGCAGAATAGCTACCCTTGATTGTAGCTGGGTTCACATTTGAAAAAGTGGAAAAAAGGAACAACACTTTTTAAGGCGAACTTAGCGCAGTGGGGTAGGGTGGCTGGGTCGAATCCCAGTGAACTCGTTGAAGAAGTCTGATGAGGAGATGTGGCGATCTCAAAAATTGCAGCTATAACTTCTACCGTTTATAAAACTATTGTGGTTTTTTCCACAATAATTTTTCATACAAAACGGCCTCTACCTCAATAAAGATTGTTTAATATGATTTGTTGGGCAAAAAAATTTAAAATTTATAAATAAAAAAGTTTATATATAGAAGTTTTTCCAATTTTCACAATATCACAAATAGTCCACAGTTTGTTTTAATTGAGAAGTTGTAATAAATACCACCAGCAATATGATCCATTATTAAAAATTTATAGGAAATCACACAATTCCACAATGAGGTTTTCAGAAAGTATGAAAATCTATTAAAATATTTTTGAGTTCCAGTAAGAATGTAGAGAATAAAAAAACTTTTGAATCAGAGCTTTGCGGATATTTTTTATGTTGATAAATTACCGTCTTCTAAAAATGCTTAACTATTTTTTTCAACCTAGCTTGTTCCACACGACACACTGTGCATCGATGTACCACTGCATGGTGCTGGCCTTTAGATACATAAATATTCATTTAATAATATTCACTAAAAAAATTTCGTAGAATTCTTACAAATTGCATATTTATTTCTTCGATTTAAATACATACATACATACTTATTATGAGGCGTAGCTGCGTGCGAATATACAAAAATACATGCATATGTATATGTATACGAGTAAATACTTGAATTTGTATGTATGAAATTGGTATTTATGTACATACGTATGTAAATAGATATGTATATAGTACATATGCTTGGGATTTTTATGGACATTAAATAGCTATTGCTCAGTACAAAATCATGGCTTACGATATGCTTATCAATATAATTTGATACATACGAATTATCAAATGGAAGAAGGAGAATATGTTATCGATAACATACTTTATAGGGGAAGGAGGAGTCCATGGATACGTTAATCACTATTTTTGTTGCACCAGTTTTTAGCACAGTTAGTCTTATGGAGTATGAGTATGTCCTTACATACCTTACAAATGAATAGAAATAC